GTGCAGATATGCGTTTGTTCATGGCTACACAAATCTTCTTCATTTAATGCATTTGATTGTGTAGTAAATGCTTTGCTTGCTTAGTTTGTCTCGCATGAAGTCTTTTGCATGATTTGTCTCCTTTATTTCTGACTTCAATCATGCCCTAGGTATGTTTGTCCTTTTTTTTGTCATTATAGTTGTGAAGGCGTTGCTTTTCTAAAAAGTAGGTGTACTTGCCCTGACACACGCAGTTTTGACTTGTGGATTCGTACACTTGCATTTTTCTCCCTTCTTTTCGTATCTTTGATAACTCCGTGTGCTTTTTCTTATAACTAAAGATGATGTATGATCTTCTTCGTCGTGACTAGTGGATCCTAGACACTTTTCATCGTGTTTTTTTTACGTCTAGGAAATTGAGTCTCCGTCTAAGATTTAGACTTTGACTTTTTCATTTCGTCTGATCAGTCTTGAGGATGAATAATTTTTATTCTGTCTGGAATGCTTCTTCATCTTGAACTATCCAACGACTGATGATTGCATTGTTGGTTTGAATATGTATGATTAACCATTGAGTTTCGTCTGATTTTTGTTTGGTGCTTGAGTCCACCTTGTCTTGGTTCTTGTTTTTGCTCTTGTTTCTGAATTCTTTTATTTCGCTCTAGATTATTCTTGGCGTATCTTTGTTTGGTGTTCATTATCGATTGATACATATGTCATGATTATTCTTTTATTTGGCTTATTTTGTCGGATCCTTGTTTTGCTTGATCATGCTCTTATACGTATCTGAAACACTGCTACCTAGATTAGTAATAACAATATGTATTATATTTGTCATATTCAAAACTTTTCTGGGAATTGCTTCGTTTGACTTAACAGATTAAGCTCAAGGTGAAGACAAGATTCCTAGTTGGTTTTGATGATTACAAATGAGTCTCTTCAGAGATAAGAGTGCGACTTGTAGTTTTGAGTTTTGAGCCTCTTGTTAAATAGGAGTGTAAGTTGTATCTTATTTTGTGAGGTTTTAAACTTTGATACTTATGTCCTTTGTGTTTGATTAGTAACTTAACATTTTATCTCTATCTCGATGATAATTAATGATTTAGATATAAGTTAAAATTGATTTGTAAAGAGAAATAATATGAAAATTTGAGATATTAAGTTTTCACTTAAGACAATCAATTATTTCAAGTAATAATCGATTATTTGCTCTATTTTTTGGTTACATGAGAAACAATTGCTGTAATAATCAATTTATTTAGCAAAACAATCGATTATTTCATAAATAAGGTTCTAGAATAATTGATTATTTATCAAAATAATCGATTAAAGTTCTTGATTGATTTTTAGAATTGTTAAGAATAAAATAATTGTTTAACCATGTAAATAATCGATTATTTCAATAAAAAAAACATATATATATATATACCATTTTTCACATCTTGAACAGGGAGACTTTTGAATATTTGTGATATCTTTTACGAAAATACTCTCTAAAATACATTTCTCTCTACAAGAAGAAGTTCTTTAACCTTTGTGGTAAGCTCAAGAAAGTTTTCAAGAATTAAGTTGATCATCATCTTCATGGAGTGAAAGGTTAAGTTGCATGCTTGATTCACCTTCTCTAATTTGTTTTGTACATTAGGTGAATTTGTTCCTTAAATCTTTGTATTAGTTGTTTTCTTAAATATTTTTCTTAAGAAAGGAGAATCTTGTAGTGAGATACTACAAGTAGGTGCTTCTTGGGGATCAATAAGTGGTTTCTTTAATATTGTAGAAGTGTATTGCATGTGGTATTGTGATTGTAAACATTTGATATTAAAGATTAGTGAAAAATCTCAATTGGATTGTTTGGGGACTGGATGTAAGTCACAAGTGAATGTGGTTGAACTAATATAAATTAAGTGTGCATTTTTCTCTCTCCCTACACTTGAATTTACATTCTAGCATTTTATTTTCATGTTTGGTATTATGTGTTGTGAGGCATGTATATTGCATTCAGAGTTGAGTGAATTTAAACTTGCATTGAATCTGAACGAAGTATCCTATATACAAACTATATGTCAACACACTTCTTTGGAAAGATTTAGAAATTTTTTTCAAAATCAGGATAGTTGCACAAGAAATTTTGATAAACCAATTCACTCCCTCTTAGTTGGGCCATATTTTCTAACAAGGTCAACCCATTTGCGACTCTTACTTGATGCTAAGTTTTCAAATGCTTAAATCATTCATGAATCTTGAGGTTCCTAATATCAAGTTGACAAAATTTTAATAAACCTACAAATGCAAAAATAAATAAATAGCAGAGATATTTTCAATGTCTATTATTTATATCAATTCTTTAAACAAATACAAATCACATGGGACTTTTCTTGATATAATAAATAAGAAAAACAATTTATCATTATAGGTGATTCTAGACATATTGGATGCTAATGTGACAAGCTTTGATGCAAGGTGTATACAAGTAGGCGCCTTTGATGCATGGAAAAAATTATAAAGGAAGTGCATCTAACCACCCTTTGAACAAATAATAGGCCCCTATCAGGAGGTGACACCCTTTTAAATAAAAGGCGCTATCACTTAAGTGTCATCCTTTGTAATATGCCTTTAGACCAACATGAATACCCATATAGAAAAAAGAAATAGTATAAATGAAATGCTTGCACTTTCATACTCAATTTTGCATGTATTGTACAATCAAACTTGCTTGATGAAAATGACTTGCTAAAAAGACTTTGACTTTGTTTGAAATGGTGTGCTTCAAATCATCGATCTCATTGGTGTGATATGTGTTATTGCTTTTTCTGCCACAAAATACAAGTTTCTTAATGATTCCCTAACATGTGTATAATAATTATGTTTGAATTTATATGATTTGTTTCTTTTTTATCTATCCAAATGATGGGTGTCATAATGATTCTCTAACACATGAATAATGATTGCATTTGAATCATTGCGATATGACCATCATTTTGTTGTTGCGAATAATGATGGGTTGTTGTTTTTTCTACTTAAATGATGTGTTATAATTTCCTGACGTGTGAATAATGATTGTATTTGAATTTATGCACTTTGGGTCGTTGCTTTTTCTAAGACAAAGTGTTGCACCAAACATCTATATATACATAGTTGATCCTACTTAACATCATAATGAAGGGATAAATAACATGAATTTAGAACTTATTATTGTTCATTTTAATGATGAGATCATTTTTCGCTACGACAATCCAAAATTTACTAGAGTAAAACATGGCATAACCATGGATGCCTTTAGGAAAAAAAATCAAGATAACATCTTAGTTGAGGCTCGATAAAAGGTGTTTGAGATTTGTTATTGAATGTCTTCCACTTTATCTTGGAGCTCATCCATTATGAGAAAATATAACTAAAGAACAATAACAACATTGTTGCGATGATGTTCTCCTTTTTCAAAATGTATTATGGCTTTCACTGGTTGAGTTATATGTTAGGTTGAGTTATATGTTAAGTTGAGCAATACCTCTGAAGAGATCTAAGCCTAATAGAATCCTTACTATTACATGCTAAGAGAAACCTTTGCAAAGTCCTAGAACGGAACCTAATTATATTTTTAGTCTTAATAAAATAAAACAAGCAAATCTTGATTTAGATCTTTTAAAAAGATTATTTAATTTTCATCTCTCTTCAAATCTAAAATCAATATTTTTTGTCATTACTGTCAAATGACATCAATTAATTACATACTAATTAGGTTGGATCGAATAGAACTAGACTTGAATCCCTTAAATAAAGTCTCAACTCTCAAGTTCAAGTAGATAAAAAAAAAATATATAGTTGGGCATAAAGACCTATTAAAATTATATAATGGAAAATAGTATTTTACTACCCTAAATCTTACCTCTTTTGTTAATAGACACCATAATCTTTAATTTTATCCTTAAATTTTATTCTATTAGTGAATAGACATTATGAAGTTTAATTTATTATAATTGATTCTTAAATTTTAACATTTATCAATAAACACTTTAATTTCATCTTATTTAATACTTTCTTTCTTTTTTTCATTTTTTAAATAGTCTCTTACAATATATAAGGATTAAACTATGAAAGAAAAAATTATGAAACATTGATTTATTTTAAATCACATTCATTTTAGTTTTATTAGTTTTGTTGTTATAAACTACTTTTTTATATATTAAAATATCATAAAACTTAGAATTAAAAAATATAAAGTATTTTTTTATCATTTTAATTATTTTTTTTCTTATTTCTCAATTCATATTTTTATTATATTTGAAAGAACTGTAACTAAAGAAGTAAAATATCAATAAATTATTAAATTTAAGATAAATAATTTAATTATATTTTTTTGAAATAATTTTTATAAAATGATAAATTTTACAAATCATTTAAAATGAAATTATAGTTGAAGATGTTTATGAAAAAAAAAAGAATTAATAAAATTTAAAGATTAATTGAAACAAAATTAATGTTTATAATACCTATTTATAAATTAAATAATGTCTAAAGATTAATTAAAATAAAATTCAAATTTAAGATATCCAACTTGTAAAAAAAATAAAGTTTAACAGAGTTAAATATTTATTTTCTAAAACTAATTTATTACTTTTCTCAAATATTACGTGGTATCATTCCAACATAACTATTAATTTTTCTTAACTTTAAAAGATATATTATTTATTTGTCTTAAAATAAATCTTAACAACTAAAATTAATAATTTAAAATTTAAAATTTTTTTTAATAATTTTCTATTAAATTTTATCTTATATATTAAATAAAAAAATATTTTTAAGGACTTCTTTTATATAAAAACATTTTTTAAACATGAAAAAATTTATAAAAATCTTTTTAACATTTAATATATTCATATTTATTTATAAATTAAATATATAATATTGTTAAAATAATTTATTAACAATTAAAATATTCTTATATGACAGTATAAATTATATTATGCGTTTAAAAATATTTATTTATATAAATTTAAAATATAAAAATATTTTATTGTATTCGAGTCTGGTGTTGAGGATAAGGGGTTGTTAATACGAGTGGGGCTTTGGGCGTTTGAAATTGAGGCTGGGCTTGGGTGAAATTGATGCAGTGCGGTGCACCCGTTGCTGAACTTGTTTCATCAGGTTACTTACTCATGCTCTCTTTCCTTTATGCATCTCAAATATCGCTTTTTATTTCCGAGTGAGAGTGCATTTTTTGAATGGTTTCAGGGATGAATGTGACTATGACCAATGCCAAGGGAATTATTACAAGGGATTCTCTTTTGCTCATGCCCAACTCTTTATCTTCTCTTAGTTCCCTTCATTCTCTTCAGGTATCTATCATATTCAGATACCCCCACCTTGTTATACTTATCTCAAGCTTTATTTTTTACTTGATAATATGTTAAAAGAAAAGTATACCCTTGGGTGGAAATTTTTAATCTAAGCATCATATTCTGGTATGAGGTTTCTGAATTTCGTGAAATAGTTCTTATTTTATCCCTTGACAGTTTTAACCCTTCAATTTCCTATATATATATATATATATATGTATATATATATATTTAATACTTCATTATTGTTGTTGTAATTTTAATTTTTTCTGACTTTGTCTTTTTAAGCAGTATGGTAGCAGTAATATCAGAGTTCCTGTGAAAATCAGAATTCAACAAGAGAAGTTTTGTCAACGGGCACTAACCATCAGGAATGAAGTGCCACAAAATGCTGATTTTCCTCGGCAGTATTCAAGAAAAGAGAAGAAACCTTTTCCGGTTCCCGTTATAGAACTGAGACGAGCAGCTAGGGAGAGGATGAAGAAGATGAAAGATGAGCCAAGAAAACCGATGCCGGCACCTAAGAATGGGTTGCTTGTGAAGAACCTTATATCAACTGCCTATAACGTGTATAATGCTAGGACAACTTTGATTAACAATCTGAAGAAGCTGCTCAAAGTAGTGCCTGTGCATGCTTGTGGGTAATTATATGTCTTCATATTCTCTAGCATACTTTTGCCTGATGTGGAGCTCATATGAATGCTAGTTAACAACATAAAAATTACATGTTTTTGTTTTGGTTGAGTAGTTGTGCTAATACAGAGATCAATCTTGCTTCTGGTCTCAGAAGATATTCCAGCATCATAAGACTAGTATGCCACTTCACATTCCGGCTTTTAAGTTTGTGATTATTAGCGTAACTAGATTCTAAATCAGATATTACTTATACCTCCTATAATTTTCCGTCATGGTGGGCAATTGATAGTTTCTTATTTTTCTTCAACAAACCTAAGTTTGCATACTTAGACCTTTTGGCTAATAGATGGTATGATTCATAGGAAGACTACATGTTCCACTTGCTGCCACTTTAGTCTTACAAATCTAGTTCACTGCATGGACACTTTCATGGCAAGCATGCTTGCCAAAACTTCAAGATTGAAGGGATTCATTGAGACTAACTCATAGTCATAATATAAGACTTTTGAAAAGCTATATTTTATTTTGTCAGTAAGAAAGATTACAACAAAAAGCATGAGGATAAAACCTAACTCCCCATACATATCCCAACAACTAAGCTTACCATGGTGGTTGAAAAGCTGTTTTTATGTTCTCAAAAATTAAAGTTTGAATGTGCTTTTTAGAGTAATGTTGTATCCTGCCAATACTGTATAATGCAAGTATTTAATGAAAATGCGAATGCATTTAATATCTTTGAAATATAAAATGCATTGAATTCTTTTTTCATTATGTAAGTAAGAAGGTTTTTGGGAAGATCTTGTAGAAGGATTTAGAATTATTCTTTCATTTATATTTTGAGCCCAAATAATCTGTTTATTTGTATTTTCAACTGGGCACTTAAAAAATATTTAGGACCAATTCTATCTTCCTTCGCAACATTCCATCTATGCTTACCAGGCTAATCTTATTGAATGTGATAAACCAAATTTGAGTGATTTATCTTCCTAGCTTATTTTAATATACTTTGACAAAAGATTTATATCCCCCTGTACATTATTTATACAAATTGAGTGTCTGTTGCTACTCCAATGTATCTATTGCCAATTTGCCACTCTTGTTTAATTAATCTTATAAAATTTCTTTGAAGTATTAGTTTGATTAATAAAGAAAAAGGTGTTCTAAAGAAAAAGAATATTTGAATAGGAGTGGCAACTGACAATCAACACTCTCGCAAATAAATGTAATGAAGTGCTTCCTACTGACAAAAGAATGAGAGAAGCGATTTAATGTTCTGAAGTGTCTTATTATTGATGCAGGTGGTGCAGTGAAATCCACGTAGGACCTGTTGGGCATCCATTCAAGTCATGTAAAGGCCCACAGACCAACATCCGCAAGGGCCTTCACGAATGGACGAATGCACATGTTGAAGACATATTAATACCAGTTGAAGCCTATCACCTATTTGATCGTCTTGGAAAGAGGATTGCTCATGAAGAGAGATTCTCCATCCCTCGAATTCCTGCAGTGGTTGAGCTCTGCATTCAAGCCGGTGTCGAAATTCCAGAGTTTCCCACAAAAAGGAGAAGAAAGCCTATCATCCGCATTGGGAGGAAGGAATTCATTGATGCAGATGAAAGTGACCTACCAGATAAAGTTTCAGAGGGCCCTTTGAAACCATTACTAGCTGAAATACCTGATTCAGAAATAGAAGCTCCACTAGAAAATGAAGTAGCCCCCCTGGCAGAGGAAACTCTCCAAGCATGGGAAAGAATGAGGAAAGGTGCTAAGAGACTAATGAGGATGTACAATGTGAGGGTCTGTGGGTATTGCCCTGAAATTCATGTTGGCGCCCGCGGCCATAAAGCTCAAAACTGTGGAGCACATAAGCACCAACAACGCAACGGGCAGCATGGTTGGCAGTCTGCAGTTCTTGATGATTTGATCCCACCAAGGTATGTATGGCATGTTCCTGACATAAATGCGCCGCTGGAACGAGAGCTTAGGAATTTTTATGGGCAGGCACCTGCAGTGGTTGAAATATGCATTCAGGCTGGTGCTGCCTTACCAGAACAATATAAATCAACCATGCGGCTGGATGTGGGGATCCCATCAAATTCGAAAGAAGCTGACATGGTAGTTTGATATGAAATGCTCTTATAGACAAATCCCAACTTTTGAATATAGTGTAAATTGTGTCAACTGAATGAAATGATAATTTATTCAATACAAGAACAGGAATATCATCATATTGGTTTGTTCTGTCAGGCTGTATTTTTGCCATTTAGACAAACTGTCATTTTCTGTCCCCTTCATACATGCAGAACTGAAGATATATAAAATTTTTAGTATCAGATTGATGTAGCAAAAATCTTGGGACATGTTTGGATGTGTGTCCATGATCCACATTCAAGCAAGAATCATGTCAATTTTGATGGAAAAGCAACTAATGGATCTACATGAGTGACATAAAATGGGTTACCAAACACAATTATTCAACCTGCATTGCAATTTCTCTCAACTCTCAGAGAGGGACAAAGGGGGCAGAGAGGACTTTATTCGAAAATTTTGCTTTACATTGCAACAATAACCCTTCATGGAAGGAGTAACTATCAACAATAACTAGACAAGTTCTTTGATAGTAAAATGCTGTGGGATGGGTTGTAGTCATTTCCAAAAGGGAAAAAAAATTTGCATTCTAGTGAATATGTAATATTTCTAATTCTTTATGACGCTTTTAAAATAAAATTATAAGGGCAATAGACAAGACAGTGCCCTTTAAACCATATGGGGTAAAAACTTTCAATGGCGTGTATAGAGAGGATAGATTGGCTTTGCATTTTTTTGAAAGCCAATAATATACAGTGCAATAAAGGCCTGGGTATTATTTTCACTTGCAGGGAGTAGTTGCTCTGAAGAAGTTGGAAACAAACGATACACGCTGTTTTCGTTAATTAATTTGAATCAAGGTCTTGTAATTGTGAAGTGCCTAATTTTCTTTTATTCTAGTCAATGAGATAATACTTCTTCATTTCCCTCCTCAATATAGCATGCATTACCATTTGCCAAAGAGCCATGATAGAAGTAGACTAAGGGTTGAATCATAAATAGTAAAAATCTTCTCTTGATCGGTGGGTATAAATTAAGGGCCCATCTGTGCTTAAACAAAAAGTTATTTTTTTAAAATTGATTTATTTTTAAGTGATTCTTGTATTAGTAAAAGTTAACTTGTGTTTGATTACATAAATAAATTACTTTTTTAAAATGTCAGAACTATAAGAGATTTAGGACAACTACACTGCTCATATTTCTTATATTTCTTATACATTACATGTGAGAGATAATCTCACTTTCTCTCATACTTAAGATGACAATTTCTAATACAAGGCCGTGATCTCAAAGTCTTCCAACAAACTCTCCTATGAGAGTTCTCTCAAATGTCACAAACTAAAGCAAAGGAAGGCTAACCCCTCACTTTTCCATTTTGATAGACTAATTAATAGGTTGAGCTTTTAGAGTTTAGTTTTAAATAAGGGTAAAAATAAATCGAACCAACTCAAAAATAGTTCGAAACTTGAATCGATAATTAATTCATTGAAATTAGTTCATAAGCCAAATGAGTTGAGTTTAAATTAAAGATCAAACTCAGATAAATAAATGAGTCGAATTTAAATTATGTATAGTTTGACTTATTTAATTCATATAATTAACTTTCTATTTAATTTTAATATATTAAAATTTTAAAGTACTTTCAAAGCTTAATAATAATAATAATAATAATAATATAAAAAAAAAAGTAAAAACTTCAAAATTTCATGATTATAGATTGAGTTTTCTATTATTTTTTGAAAGATGAAATAGTTTTAATTTATACAGATTTTAATTGTAATCATATTTCTTTAGAGTCATACTATGTACTCTTGTAAAACTAATAAAATAAATTATATTTTATTTTTTTTAAAAAAATAAACAATCATTTCATAAAATCTATTATTAAATTAAAAGTTTGAACTGTATAAGATTAAAAAAAAAATTGAGTCTTATTTCATATAAAATCTTATAGGTTGGTTTACTCATATGCTAAACCAGACATTGATTAAATCATTAGGATCTATCGGTGAAAACTGTAATAAGTTATATTATTGAGCACTGACCTGGATCTTCTTGCAGTTTAATTAAGTTTTAACTGCACCTCAGGCAGTTCAAAACGGAACTTCAGGGGATCTATTTCCGGCACTGGCCTGGATCGGAAGTCTCATTGTCAAACTTATAAGTGGTAATTAATAGATGGATTCATGAATCATGACATAATTTCAACAGCATCACATTTGTTTGTATAACATTTTTTATTGGGAGTTACTGCAATTAATAATGAAAATTTGGGTCAGAATTGAAGTCTGTTACTTAAGTATCACAAGTTATTTATTTATTTATTCATTATAATTTAACTAATACTTTATAAAATATTATATTATCTATGTGAAATTGTAATATAGTATGTATATTATGTAAAAAAATTGTAAAATGTTAGTGGGGGCACTGCCCCCACAGTGGTCAATATAGATCCATCATTGCATGTATCATGTCCAAGGATACTGTAGAGTGAATACTGCAATAATATCCCTTTTTATTTATAAATGAAGAGAAATACACCCCCAAACAATTATGAGTACTGCTTTGATTGCCAACGAGGTAGTGCTCATTTCCCATCAACATTCTCCATAAGAGTCAAGAAAAGTTGCTCAACATGCAATGGTATAGCACAATGTTACTGCAATACACAAGGCATAACTTTCTAAAATCAATAGTATTTCCAAATTCCAACTGCTAATTTCTATATTTAAAGCACTAATTTCATTTAGGAAAAAATAATAGATAAGGAGCATACAATCATGGACTGGATGAAGTAATCACAGGAAGATTATCACGTGCAGTCCTCCTCCTCTTGGTCGCACAAAGTTGTTCCCGGTTTTCTTCACTTCCATTATTAGAGCCTCCATATTCAACTCCATTTGCTCTTTGTTGCGATTCATTATCAAAAATTTCCATCAGATTAAACCCGGATGCTGTGGCATAAACAGGAAAAACCCCACACCCTTTTATGGTATCTTTATTGCCATTAAATTCAAATATGAATGCCATGTTACTGAAAGGATCATACACTTCACTTAATCTGCGAAATTTGCTGACATTATGATACCAAAATAACACGTGATCTGAAATTAAATTTTCACATCCTATAAACCTGCGATGGTCGCAGCCTACCAATATGTCATCTTGATAGATAGAACAAAAAACCTGATGATCTGAGACTAGTCCCTCAGAAAGAATGATGCAAAAAATGTAACCCCACAAGTGAGATTTTGGAAGTGATGGAATATTTATTGAACTCTTTGTTGTAAGAAGCTCACACTCATTGAAGACATGGTCACCCGGGAAGATGAAATACCCACCATCAAAATACACAGGATTGTAAAGATATTGTTGATGCACGTGGCTTTGTAACATGTGTTGTAACACTAGCCCTTGAGTGATGTCTGTCTCCAGAGAAATGCAGTTAAAGGCACTCACCTCTTTCACTGATTGTGGAAGCTCGGGCAAAGACATGAGTTTGCGGCAGTCATTTAAATAGAGCTCTCTCAAGGATGGTGGAAGCTCTGGCAGAGACAAGAGTTTCTTGCAATCATTTAACCAAAGAATTCTCAACATTGAAAGGACCTTGATGCTTTTAGGCAAGTGCTCAATATTAGTTCCGCGAAGGTCTAACTCTTCTATAGACAGTAAGTGACCAATTGATGATGGCAATGCACATATAGCGGTGTCAGATAACTCCAAAAGTGTCAACCTTTCTGCTGTCACTGAGAATTCCTCAAGAGACGAACAACAAGTGAGTGTTAGTACACGGAGAGATTTTAAATGAACATTAAGGCTTACAATCTCTTTACAGCCACTTAAATATAAATATGTAAGCTTGGGGAGAGATAACATTGATGACAGCAATGCACATATTGCAGTCTGAGATAAGTCCAAATGTGTCATTTCCTCTGATGTCACTGAGAATTCCTTGAGAGATGAACAACCTCTGAGTCTGAGTACACTGAGAGATTTTGAATGAATGTTAAGGCTTTCAATTTTTGTGCAACCACTTAAAAACAAATATGTAAGCTTGGGGAGAGATAAGATGGATGGATGGAGCTGACACAAGCTTTCACACCCAAAAAGAGACACTC